GGGGACGAGACACAGGCGGCTCGCGGCTGGGACGGCGCGCAGGAACCGGTGCTGGGTGAGGGGCGAGACAGGGGTTGGAGCTGGGCGCTGCTGGGGGCCCCTGGGGCTGGAGCTCACAGTTCATGCCGTAGACGCCCGCCACAAAGGTGAGGGGCAGGAAGAGCGACCCCGCTGTCGCCAGCACCATGTTGGCGCTCTGGTGGTTGGGGGGGTGCAATTTATGGTGCGAGGGCAGGGTGTGCGGCGCGTCAGACATCTGAGGCCCCGGGGTGCAGGTGGCCGAGCCACCTCACCATGCATCAACTAAGAGACGTTTGGCTGAAAAGAACTCAACGGGCAGCGCTGCACGGTCAAGGGACAACGGGGCAGCGCCTGCAAAAGAACGGGCCTGACCCTTGACATAAGCAAAAGCGGCGCGTGAGGTTGAGCTGGCGGCTCCACAGGCGGAAGGCAGTGCAGCGTGGTGCCACATGGGGTGCAGTGCCCCTCCAGTTGGGCGCTCACCTCGTTGGAGTGGCTCACGCTGTTGAACACTGGAGAGGCAAGGAGGGCGGGGTGCGAGGGTATGAGCAGAGCGGCCCAGACTGCAAGCGGCAGAATGCTCTAAGCAAGTCCGCCGACTCGCGTGGCTGGAGGCGGCGGCTGCGCCGGCACCACTCGTTTGGGCCAGCCGTGCGGCGGCGCCGGGCACGCTCTCTGCCCTCGTTTAGCCAGGCCTTGACGGCCGCGGCCCCCTCGAGCGGGCGGCGGGCTGCTCGTTTGCCCACTCACCTAGGTCACTGAGCCTGTTGGTGTGCTCCAGCAGCGCCGCCAGGTCCTGCTCCCCCGTAACAGCCTTTTGGAGGGGCAGTAACAACGTGCGGTGATGTTGGTGTTGGTGGGGGTTGGTGGGGTTCGCGGTCGTGTGTGCGAAAGGGAAAGGTGAAAGTGAGCTGGCTGAGCCGTTTGTGTCAGCAGCCCTGATGCTAGCAGGCTCAGCTCAACGGCGCGAGCAGCCCGGCACCGGCTCCCGGGCTCTCTCCATACGCACAGGCGGCCGAGGCGGGCGTGAGCAAGCGGGTAAGGAGCGCTAGTAGACTGTGGTGTGACACGAACAAAACCGACCCTTGCCCTTTCCCACAACCCACACCCCCGCCCCCCACACACACACATATACCACATCACACGCGGACACAAACACGATGAAAACTCAACACATCACACCACAATACGAGAGCACATCACCCATACAACTCAACACCACCTGCCCACCCACACACACACACACCCACACACCCCCCCCCACACACACACACACGCTCGCGCGCACGCGTGCGCACACACACACACACACACATGCACACACACACACACACAATTGTAACCCCACCTGATCGTGCACGTCCGCAATGTACATCCCAGCCAGCTCTGACAGCAGGATGCCCCCATGGGGCCCCAGGCGGCCACCGGCCCCCCTGCTGCTGCCGCCCCGTGCGCTCGCGCCGCCCCCGTTGGGCACCGCCCCGCCCCTCGCGCGCTCCGAGGCGCCGGCGCGGCCCGGTCGCTGCTGTGCCTGCTGCTGCTGCTGCTGCTGCTGCTGCTGCTGCTGCTGCTGCTGAGGTTCATCATTCTGCAGAGGGTCAGCAGGGGTCGCGTTTGAGCAGTCGTGCGGCCGCTCCTCCCCCTCATCGCTCTCGTCGTCGCTCTCCTGCGGCGGCAGGACTGCGCGCGCTTGTAGAGAGGCCAGCATGGGCTGGATCGTGGAGAAGCTGCCGGGAAGGTGGGAATGGTGGGGGTGAGGAGTGATGTCAGTGGGTGGCGGTGAGGCCCGGGTGGTGCAGGGGCCAGTAAGGATGGCTGCAGCATGGGAGAGAAAGGGGAAACAAGGGCAAGCGTTGCACTTTGGACAGCCGCTGTCTAGCAGGATGACCTGAGCTCCTCGCAAGTCAACAACTTGCACCTCGCGTGGCGCATCTACGACCCCCACGACCGCCCGAACGCGTGCATACGTGCTCGTGCGCGGCTCCCGCCTGAATCTTGAGACCAACCCACCCAGCACCCCACCGGTCCCACCCCACCCACCTGCGCAGCATGATTGAGAGGTCTGTGGAGATGAGGTGCAGCCGCCGCGACTGGCAAACCTCAAACTTGCCGCGCACCAGCTGTGAGGGTGGGACGTGGGCATGGCCGGGCGGAGGTGCGATGTTCACGCACGTGGGTGCGGCAGCACGGGCCGCATGACGTCTCAATCATAAGCCCAGGCGCGGTTGCGAGCTTTCTTGACAGAGGCTGTGGCGTCCTTGCTGTAAACGATGCAGCTCATGAAACGTCCAAGTGAAAAGGTCCAGGGATGAGCAGTACGCTCGCCTCCTGAATCCTGCTCCGCAGCGCCGTCGCGCTTTCGAGCACGCAGCGCCTGCCCCTCTGCCCGTGTGTCAACCCGGGGCGCCAGCGCCTGCCGCTGCCCCTGCCGTCTGCCCGCGGCCTCACCTGAGAGTCAACGCCGGCGACCTTGCAGGCGAAGGCCTCGAACACCGGCAATGAGTAGTCCAGGGTGGACTGCAGCAGGGCCTGGCGGGGGCGGGGAGGTGGAGGGAGAGTGGAGGGAGGGACAATCAACGAAAGGGGGCTGGGAGAGATGATGGGTTGTTGAGAGGAACAGGGAGAGGGTGGTTTGCGGAAGGACGGAGAGGCAGAGGGGTGGTTTGGAGGGAGAGAGGAGAGGTGGCGGAGTGGTCCGCGCGGGCCAGAGCGGGTCAAACATGAACGCATCGGATCACTGTCATGGCGCACGATACGCTCACCCTCAGGTGCCCCTCCGTCACG